TAAAAGACGTAAAAAATTCCAGACTTTTTAGGCTTGTATTTCCTTAAGTCAGTTGTTTCTTCCAACTTCGCACGTGCAAGTGGTTTCATTCATTAAGGACTGAGAATATCGCTACCTGCGACGTGGATCATTCACGAATTTCGAAAATCACGGTAGAAAAACGAGAGATTTTAAAAGCGATGCGAGTACCAAGAGAATGGGTGGTACAGTCGATAATCAATCGAACCATCGGCGTCTCGAATTCCGTGCTTAAACATAGACGGAACCCTGCAAAAAGCTTCTTTCACGACATCGCTCCACGTCTATCGAGCGGATCCTCAAACACGGACAATTCAGAACAACGTATTTTTTTCTCGCATGACAATTTCACACAAAAGCCTACGGACTCACCAATGATTCACCGCAGAATGAAATATCCATAAGCATTAGTTTTTGTTGCTCCAGTTTGAACATTCAATGCGCTATTGTTCTATTCATTACTTAATTGGCTTTTATATGCCGTGCTATTTTTATATATTGTCCTTTGAAGTAGTATAAGAAAATAAAGAGATATCTAATAGCTTCCTGACAGATTTTTCATTACATAATTGTGATAATTGATTTAAGTGAAATGTGCATTTCCAAATGTGTAACCAAATACTGTGCAAATATTTTATAGGTTTACGGAATTAATATTGATACTGCGAGGTGACTTATCATTTAAACAGCACATCGAAATTATTCAGAAACGATCGAATTACTAGAATTACGAGTTGCATAAGCAGTGCCAATCATTGCCACAAATAGAGTACTTAAATGATTTCTACATTTATAGTAGAAAAATTCCTTCCTTACAGTAATTTTGATTACTTTCATAAAAAAGCAATTACACTATATTTTTTTCGGATAATAAATAATTGGAAAAATTGTTAATTACAAAAATGTATCACGATCCGGTACATTTTTTATTATATTAAAACACAGAAGAATTGTATTTAATTAAAATTCATATAAATCGACAAGACTTTTATCCAAAGACGTAATAAAGAATGACGTAGTCTGAGAATCCTCGCCTTATCTACCGCGAAAACAGGTCACAGAGAGTCTAGACTTTTCCGCGAGCCAAAACGGCCGAGCCGGAATTGATTGAGCTGGCATCGCATTCAGTACGACTTCGACCGTTCACAATTTGTCGTAGGCTTTGTTTAAAAATTTGATTAAAAAATTGCGCGCAGAACTGTCTTCGATTTTTCTCGTAACGTTAGTTAGCAGATGTTCCTCGCGAGTCAGACGTAACGTGAATCGACCGAGGATGCTGCATGAGTCTCCCTTACCTGGGACGATAGTCTCTACCCCTCGGCGACGAAATTCGCGATATCCCAAGGTAGTCCGTCGATCGGTGTGCCTCGCGAGAAACTGGCCTGTCCGAGTGCCAGAGAATCCTTTCTTCTGCGAAGCGCGTCCGTCCGCTTGTCCTGGCGTGCTCGCTCTGCTCCTGCGCCCCGACGCTCACCCGACTCGAGCGGACAACCTAACCCGAGTCACTCGATAAACCCACCCACACGTATCGCACATATAGACACGCGGGTTCGACGCGAGCTTTTGCGAAACACAATCTATCGATAAATTATGTATATAGCTTCCATTTTTTGCACGCAACGGACGTTCTTCTCCACCGTCCGACGCTTCCTTCCACGGCTCGCTTCCGCGGCGGAGGTACGAGCGACGATGCACTCGACGTCCGATGGAATTTTATTCGACGCGAGGAAATTGGGAAGGTAAATGTTGTCATTGGGTATTGACCATTATTTGCAAACAGCGGATGGTGTCCAATGTTAAATTGATTTTTATGACGGTTACGTAAGTGTACTTGTCGTTGCGCATGATTGGTGAGGACGAATTTAAGGGTTGCAATCTTTAGGGTCGACTCCTATGGAAGGCGAGTTCGTTTCTAATAATTTATTGACGCTCGGTTTTACATTGGTTAATTTTTATCAAGATCGCTTCTCGGTATAAAATGTGGATGCAAAACTGAAATTATTCTTCGTAATATTTCTTGATCGTGTTATGATGACAGAAAAATGAAGGGTGATTAAACGTGTTGGTCGCTTTTATCCTAATTACCGCGACTTCGAGGAGCAACTGTACATTTATCCTGCGATCACGAAGGGGTCGAATAACTGGTAGCGCGACTAAAGCGCGGCACACCCTTTTCTGGTCAGCCACTTTAATTCCATCGTTATTACATTGATGCGACCCCAGTATTCTAGTTCGCTTGACACATTTCAAACTCCCACGACTCTCGTGATATTGGAACTTCGTCAAATCCTTAAATGATTCAAAACACTTCAAGAGTATAATAGATTTCACACAAGTTTGTAAATGCGATTTTCATCGTTGCT